GGGAACAGCCCCCCGAGAGTGTTTTCCCCAGCCCTGTCCCAGGGAAAGGGGCTCTGGCAACACCGACACCTTTGTGGGGCTGTCCCAGGGAGCAGAGCGCTCTGGGTGCTGACGCTCAGACTGTAAGAGAGGAGAATCCCACCCTCCCTGCACGGGGAGGAAAAGGAAGAACTGAGTCTGGGCTGGGGACAGAGCAGGATGTGCCGTGCGTGCCCCTCATCCCCACGGGGCTGGCCTGCTCCCGAAGGAGCGGCTCGGGGGCCAGGAACCCCCCCGGCATCAGTGCCATGGCTCGTGCCATGCGGGGAGCGCAGCCATCCGGCCCCAGCTGTGAGCCCGGCCCCCCTCCCAGCTCAGCCCCGCAGCGCACACGGCTCCCCCGAGCTCCCCCAAAGCGGCTGCCAGCAAAGGCGGCTCCTGCAGCCCACGCTCGGAGCAGACAGCGCCCGCCCGCTGCCCTCAGAGCCCTCTTCTCCTGCCCTGCCATCTCCGCAGCCGTGGCAAACACACGCAACAGGAGGCAGGAGACCAACAAGATCCCGCTCCTGCTGCTGCCGGCTCCCAGCGCACAGCTCATCCCGCGGGCCCTACCTTCTCCCTCCGTGTCCCGCAGCTCCGGGGATGCGGCAAGTCCAGCACAGCCCACCCAGCCCGGCTACTTTAGAGGGAGCTGCTTCCCCTTTTATAGGAGGAGTCGGAGAGCAGCTACTGATTTCCTATAAATCATGTGTTTTCCTGTAAATCCTGTAGATCTACATCCCTGCAGCGGTATGAAAGTGAAACTGCTGCTGCCTAGTTTGGAGTGAAAATATTTCGGTGAGACATGGATTTGATGTGGGCAGTTTTCTCCAACCTTAACGATTCTATGACTCCATGAAAGGCAGCAGAAGCCGCTACCTTGTCCCTCCGTGTCCCGCATCTCCCGGGATGCGAGAACTCCAGCACAGCCCACCCAGCCCCAGCTCTTCTGCAGGGAGCGGCTTCCTGTTCTGTGGGGGCAGTCGGAGAGCAGCTACTGCTTTCCTGTAAATCAAGTTTTCCTGCCGCAGTGTGAAAACGAAACTGCTGCTGCCTGGTTTGGGTGAAAGAGGTGGAAGGAGGCGGTGCAGGCCCGGGCAAAGCGCAGGCATCGCCATCCCAAAAATCATCGCCGACTTCGGAGCAACCAAGCGAGCAGACAGACAGCGGGCAGGTACTCACACACGGTCATGGAGATATTGAGGCGTCAGGAGAAATAACGGGAAGGGTCTTCGTGTGCTGCTCCAACGAGGATCCGCCTTCTTGAAGGCTCGAGGGACAAAGAGCCCCCGAAAAAGGCAGGGGTGGGTTTAAATATGGGGTGTGAAGGGGCGGAGCACAGCACTAAGGGCCAATGGTGCGAGGGCTCGGGGCTGGTTCCAAGGTGGGGAAAAGCAGAAACGAGCAACGGGAATGTGGGGGTGGAGAAGCGGGAAAAGGGAAGCCAATGGGAGAACAGGATACACAGAACATTCTGGAATTGGGGAGGAGCTCAAGGATGACTTAACTTGGATTTATCTCCATAATAGGGTAAAGGATTCTGGGGGCGAGGCTTTCTAAACCTTCTCTGCACAAAGGGTGAGGTGCCCCAGGAGCTGAAGATTTCCTGGCTAATTTGGTTTCTGTATCCCTGGCAGGCTCCTGGGCCTCCACAACAGACTTGGGGATGTCAGAGTCTTTTCCAACTTGAATTCTTCTATGATTCCGTGAAAAGCAGCAGAAACAGATACCTTGTCCTTCCATGTCCCACAGCTCCCAGGCTGGGAGAAGTCCAGCACAGCTGATCCAGCCCTGGCTGTTTTGGAGGGAGCTGCTTCCCCTTTTATGGGGGCAGTGGGAGAGCAGCTGTAAATCCTGTAAATATATGTAAATCAATGTAAATCCCGTCAATCCATGTAAATTCCTGTAAATCATATGTTTTCCTGCAGCAGTGTGAAAGTGAATGGTCAGGAAGTGGATCAGTAATTTTGATTATTGGCCCAATCCTTGTCTAGGCTTTTAAAACTGCCCATAAATATTTTATTAGATGGACTGATGATATTCGGGCTGCTTTCAAACCGTTTAAGAAACCTCTCATGAGGGCTCCATCTTTGGGCTTGTCATGTCCCATGAGACCTTTTGAATTATTTCTTTATGCCAAGGCTGGCCCAGCTGTGAGCAGCTGGTGGTGTTGATTCAGGAACTCCTAAATTGACTCTGGGACAAAGCAGGACAGTCTTTGCAGCACAAAGGAACTTGGAACAAAAAGGGGGGGGGGCACTGCCTGTCTACCAAAGGGTTTTTTGGACCCTCAGAGCCACCTCCAGTGCTAATCCTGCTGGGTTTCTGTCACCACCAAAGCAGAAAGGACTCCAGGATTGATTGCCTATGAACCATCACAGGGGTTTATTGCAGCTGCCTGGATTTAAAGGACAGAGAACCCACACTGGGAGCTGTACACGGATGGAAAGAGCTTTTGTAGCCCTGGAAAAAACACATCAGGGTAGTCGGTGCTGACCCTGAGAGAGGTGATTTTATCCAAGGCTCCAGATGTTCCCGTGGGCATTGGAGCTGAGTGAAAGAAAGTGAACATCTGGGGAGATTATTTTGGTGTAGTGCACGCCCTGGAGAGAGAGTGGTTTGCTATCAGCACAAGGTACCTCAGCCAAACGTGGGACACAAATATCACATTTCTTGGAAGCAGC